AGGCACCCCAACGTCCTGCGCCTCTACAACTACTTCCACGACCGGCGCCGGGTGTTCCTCATCCTGGAGTACGCGCCGCGGGGGGAGCTCTACAAGGAGCTGCAGCGCTGCCGCCGCCTTGACGCCTCCCGAACTGCCACGGTCAGGGCACCCCAAAATCCGGCACCCCTTTTTTTTGGGGGGGGCACCCCAGAACTGCCCCACACGTCAGGGAGACCCCCAGGTAATGGGGAGGGAGCTGGGAGTGAACCTGGATCTAGAGGTCGTGACCCAGGTTTTGGGCGGTGCCCCCCCAACAGTGGGGTTAATCTCAGAGCAGCCCTGGATATTGGGGTACCCCCCCAAACCGTGGGGGTCTGCCCCCCCCAGATATCAGGGTACCCCCTATGGAAGGGGGAACTGGGACCCCAGAACTGACTGGGACATTGGGGTACCCCCAGACATGGGGGGGGCTGCCCCCCCTGAATCCAGAGTCTACCCTGAAATTGGGGTGCCCCCGCAACATGGGAGTCTGGGTCCCATAGACATCAGGGTCACCCTCAGTCATTGGGTGGTGTCTGGGTCCAAGTGCCCCAAACACTTGCGGGGGTCATTGTAATGTGTGTGTCCCCCATGGGGCTGCTTGTTGGGACCCCCCGGGCACTTTGGGGGTGCCCTGACCCCCCCCAAATCTCACCCCGCCCCCAAATTGATGGAGGAGCTGTGGCCCCACACCAACTGCACAGCTCAGGGCGGGGGGGGAAGACATGGGGCACCCTTGGGGGTGCAGGAGACCTTGGGGGGCCTCAGGGGTCTTTGGGGGGACCCTGGGCAGTTTGGGGGTGCCCTGACCCCCCCCAAAATCCCCCACCCCAGTTGATGGAGGAGCTGGCGGACGCGCTGCTGTACTGCCATGGGCGGAAGGTGATCCACCGGGACATCAAACCCGAGAATCTGCTGCTGGGGCTCAAGGGGGAGCTGAAAATCGCCGATTTCGGGTGGTCCGTGCACGCCCCCTCCCTCCGGTACGGTTGAGGGGGGGATCTATGGGGCT